GGCACCTCAGTCCTGAGGTGCTGAGATCCCACAGGGAGATAAACCCACTGAGAACACTGACAACTGAGCGGCACGCTAATTTAATCCAGGTTTCATTAGCAGTCAGGATCACCGGGTGATTTGTACCCAGGCTTTGAGGAGAGGGGAGCAGGCTAAGCCAGGACACAGGGGTCTGATAGAAAAGAAGCAGCTGTAATTTGTTCTGAAACTCCAAAATACACTATAAATGGAAAGTGCAGCAGCTCTGCATAACCCAGCGCTGGGTGTGTGATGTGCCCAAGAGCAATCCGTGTTTGAATCCACAGCAATGACCTGGCCTTGAGTGCAGACCCAGAGCCTGCAGCTCTCCTGGTCAGGGAAAGGAGCATTCCCCTCCCTGGGCTCTCCCTGTGGAATAAATGGCATTGGAATTGCACTGGTATTCCAGACACAGGGGTCTGATAGAAAAGAGGAAGCTGTAATTTGTTCTAAACCGCTAAAATACACTATAAATGGAAAGTGCAGCAGTTCTGCATAACCCAGAGCTGGGTGTGCTCGACTCATTGACATGGCCAAGAGCAATCCGTGTTTGGATCCACAGCAGTGACCTGGCCTTGAGTGCAGACCCAGAGCCTGCAGCTCTCCTGAAAGGAGCATCCCCTCCCTGGGCTCTCCCTGTGGAATAAATGGCATTGGAATTGCACTGGTATTCCAGATACAGGGTCTGATAGAAAAGAGGCGGCTGTAATTTGCTCTGAAACGCCAAAATACACCGAAAATGGAAAGTGCAGCAGCTCTGCATAACCCAGAGCTGGGTGTTCTCGACTCATTGACATGGCCAAGAGCAATCCGTGTTTGAATCCACAGCAGTGACCTGGCCTTGAGTGCAGACCCAGAGCCTGCAGCTCTCCTGGTCAGGGAAAGGAGCATCCCCTCCCTGTGGAATAAATGGCATTGGAATTGCACTGGTATTCCAGACACAGGGGTCTGATAGAAAAGAGGCAGCTGTAATTTGTTCTGAAACTCCAAAATACACCGAAAATGGAAAGTGCAGCAGTTCTGCATAACCCAGAGCTGGGTGTGTGATGTGCCCAAGAGCAATCCGTGTTTGAATCCACAGCAATCAACGACCTGGCCTTGAGTGCAGACCCGCAGCCTGCAGCTCTCCTGAAAGGAGCATCCCCTCCCTGGGCTTTCCCTGTGGAATAAATGGCATTGGAATTGCACTGGCATTCCAGACACGGTGTTTAGAACTTAAATTTAGAAACTCACTCAACTCAGAAGTGAGAATGTGGATGTGTGGTTTAAAGCAGACACACGTTAAGCTAAGTAAAGGAAACTTCAGGCTTTTAAAAGTTAAAATGCAGATAAAAATAGTTATAAAAGTAATCAAGAAATTTAAATTACGGCGCTGTAAGTTTGTGTGTTGCAATGAACTAAAAAAGTTACATTGTCGCATGAATCTATGAGACAAAATATTTTTTAATTGGGATCTTGTCATGAAGTCCTGGGTTTTCACTTTTTCATTGAGATCTCTGTGGTCATGAGGTCCTCGTTTTTCAATTTTTCATTGGGATCTCATGATGAAGTCCTTGTTTTAAACTGTTTAATTGGGATTGTTTTAAACTGTTTCACTGGGATCTCATGATGAAGTCCTCGTTTTTGTTTTTCATTGGGATCTCTTGATGAAGTCCTTGTTTTAAACTGTTTAATTGGGATTGTTTTAAACTGTTTAATTGGGATCTCATTATGAAGTCCTCGTTTTTGTCTTTCATTGGGATCTCATGATGAAGTCCTCGTTCTCACTGTTTCATTGGGACCTCTGTGGTCACAAAGTCCTTTTTTTTCAATTTTTCATCGGGATCTCATGATGAAGTCCGTGTTTTAAACTGTTTCATTGGGATCTCATGATGAAGTTCCTCAGTTCTCACTGTTTCACTGGGATCTCTGTGGTGACAAAGTCCTCGTTCTCACTGTGTCGTTGGGTTCTCTGTGGTGACAAAGTCTTCGTTTTCGCTGTTTCATTGGGTTCTCTGCAATAACAAAGTCCTCGTTCTCACTGTTTCATTGAGATCTCTGTGGTCACAAAGTCCTTTTTTTTTCAAATTTTCATTGGGATCTCATGATGAAGTCTTCAGTTCTCACTGTTTCACTGGGTTCCCTGTAAAACCAAAGTCTTCGTTCTCACTGTTTCATTGGGTTCTCTGTAATAGCAAAGTCCTCGTTCTCACTGTTTCATTGGGACCTCTGTGGTCACAAACTCCTTTTTTTTCAATTTTTCATTGGGATCTCATGATGAACCCCTTGTTTTAAACTGTTTAATTGGGATCGTTTTAAACTGCTTAATTGGGATCTCATAATGAAGTCCTCATTTTTCAGTTTTTCATTGGGATCTCACGATGAAGTTCCTCAGTTCTCACTGTTTCACTGGGATCTCACGATGAAGTCCTCATTTTTCAGTTTTTCATTGGGATCTCATGATGAAGTTCCTCAGTTTTCACTGTTTCATTGGGACCTCTGTGGTCACAAAGTCTTTTTTTTTCAATTTTTCATTGGGATCTCATAATGAAGTCCTTGTTTTAAACTGTTTAATTGGGATTGTTTTAAACTGTTTAATTGGGATCTCATTATGAAGTTCCTCAGTTCTCAGTTTCATTGGGATCTCATGATGAACTCCTTGTTTTAAACTGTTTAATTGGGATTGTTTTAAACTGTTTAATTGGGATCTCATTATAAAGTCCTCGTTTTTGTCTTTCATTGGGATCTCATGATGAAGTCTTCATTCTCACTGTTTCATTGAGATCTCTGCAATAACAAAGTCCTCGTTCTCACTGTGTCATTGGGACCTCTGTGGTCACAAAGTCCTTTTTTTTCAAATTTTCATTGGGATCTCATGATGAAGTTCCTCAGTTCTCACTGTTTCACTGGGTTCTCTGTAATAACAAAGTCCTTGTGCTCACTGTGTCATTGGGTTATCTGTGATCACAAAGTCCTCGTTCTCACTGTTTCACCCTCGTTCTCACTGTTTCATTGGGTTCTCTGTGGTCACAAAGTCTTCGTTTTCGCTGTTTCATTGGGTTCTCTGCAATAACAAAGTCCTCGTTCTCACTGTGTCATTGGGACCTCCGTGGTCACAAAGTCCTTTTTTTTCAATTTTTCATTGGGATCTCATGATGAAATCTGTTTTAAACAGTTTTAAACTGTTTCATTGGGATCTCATGATGAAGTCTTCAGTTCTCGCTGTTTCATTGGGTTCTCTGTAATAACAAAGTCCTCGTTCTCACTGTTTCATTGGGTTCTCTGTGGTGACAAAGTCCTTTTTTCAATCTTTCATTGGGATCTCATGATGAAGTCTTCAGTTCTCACTGTGTCGTTGGGTTCTCTGTGGTCACAAAGTCCTTGTTTTTCACTGTTTCATTGGGACCTCTGTGGTTCCAATTTTTTCAATTTTTCATTGGGATCTCATGATGAAGTTCCTCAGTTCTCACTGTTTCACTGGGATCTCATAATGAAGTCCTCATTTTTTAGTTTTTCATTGGGATCTCATTACGCAGTCCTCAGTTTTCACTGTTTCATTGGGTTCTCTGTGGTGACAAAGTCCTTGTTTTTCACTGTTTCATTGGGTTCTCTGCAATAGCAAAGTCCTCGTTCTCACTGTGTCGTTGGGTTCTCTGTGGTGACAAAGCCCTCGGACTTTTCATGGGTATCTCAATGGTCATGAAGTCCTCAGCCAGCGTCACCTCCTGGC